CATAAGGTAATTAGCAACGTCCGCAAACCATGGCATATCACTCATTGACACAGAAAGTAGCTGCTCATCGGGGAATGCATCATTGATCTCTAGGCCATCACACGGCGTCCCTTGCTCCTCCAAGCGGGACAAGTGGTCCGCTACTTGGTTTTCACTACCTTTCCGGTCCACAATTTCCAAATCAAACTCTTGAAGTAACAAGACCCATCGCATCAACCTAGCTTTGGAGTCTTTCTTCGTCATCAAGTACCTAAGGGCTGCATGATCGGTGTGCACTATGACCTTGGCTCCCATGAGATACGGCCGAAAATTTTCCATTGCGAACACAATAGCCAACAACTCTTTCTCAGTTACCGTGTAGTTCCTTTGAGCCTCATTCATAGTCTTGCTCGCGTAGTACACCGGATGAAATATTTTGTTCACTCTTTGACCCAAAACTGCCCCAACCGCAACATCACTCGCGTCGCACATGAGCTCGAAAGGCAAACTCCAATTGGGTGCGGTAATGATAGGGCTGGTGGTCAACTTATGCTTGAGAAGTTCAAAGGCTTGCATACATCCCTCATCAAACACGAACTTGGAATCCTTTTCTAGCAGCTTGCACAAAGGATTCACTACCTTCGAAAAGTCCTTTATAAATCTCCGGTAGAACCCCGCGTGCCCAAGAAAACTTCTAACCCCCTTGACAGAAGTGGGGGGACGAAGCCTTGAAATCACCTCTATTTTGGCCTTGTCAACCTCTATGCCATGCTTTGAAATTTTATGACCCAACACTATGCCCTCTCAACCATGAAGTGGCATTTTTCCCAATTGAGCACAAGATTGGTGTCTTCACAACGGGCCAACACTCTATCCAGATTTTTCAAACATTCATCAAATGAATCACCCACAACACTAAAGTCGTCCATGAACACCTCCAAAATATTTTCCACCATATCAGTGAAAATGGCCATCATACACCGTGGGAATGTCGCCGGTGCATTACACAACCCAAAAGGCATCCGAGAAAAGGCAAAGGTGCCATATGGACAAGTAAATGTGGTCTTCTCCTGATCCTCCGGAGCAATCAAGATTTGGTTGTACCCAAAATATCCGTCCAAGAAACAATAGAAGGCACGCCCAGCAAGACGATCAAGCATCTGGTCAAGGAAAGGCAATGGGAAGTGATCCTTGCGGGTCACCTTGTTTAGCTTGCGGTAGTCCATGCACACCCTTCATCCGGTCACTGTCCGGGTTGGAATTAATTTCATTATTAGCATTGGTCACCACGGTCATACCACCCTTTTTCGGCACACACTGTACCGGCGAAGTCCACGAGCTGTCAGAGATAGGGTACACAACCCCGGCATCTAACCACTTGATCACCTCCTTTTTCACAACTTCTTGCATTGCCTCGTTCAACCTCCTTTGATGTTCCAAAGAGGGTTTTGCATCATCTTCAAGAATAATCTTGTGCATACAGAATGCGGGGCTTATTCCTCGAATATCAGCTAAAGTCCATCCAATTGCCTTCTTCCGCTTTTTGAGCACCGCCAATGTGGCATCTACCTGCATGTTAGTAAGACAAGAGGAAAGAATAACTGGCAAAGTTGAACTAGGGCCTAAGAACTCATACCTGAGGTGTGGAGGCAGTGGCTTCAACTCCAATACCGGAGGCTCCTCAATTAAAGGCTTTGTTGGAGGAGTCTTTCTATTTTCAAGATCCAAAGAGAGTTTCCTAGGCTCATAAGAATAAGAGCCCATTCCATGCAGCTTGGATTTGCAGATGATCTTTTGCTGTTTTGCAGGGGTGACATTGGATCAATCAAGCTGCTGTACAATTGCTTCATGGAGTTTTCAAAAGCATCAGGACTGGTGATTAACAAGAACAAAAGCTCTATATTCTTTGGAGGGGTGTCACATGATATACAGGCAGACATAATGGAGTTTCTGGGCATTCAAAAAGGAGAACTGCTAGTGAGATACTTGGGAGTCCCCTTAAGTTCCAAAAGAGTCTCACTAGGCCAGTGTCAACCTCTAATTGACAAACTAGTGGGCAGAATAATATCATGGACAGCCAAATTCCTATCATATGCAGGAAGGATTCAACTTATCAACAGTGTGCTGTTTTCTATCCAGACTTACTAGGCTCAGATCTTTATGTTACCAAAGAAAATTACAAAGTTGATTGAGACAATATGCAGAAGTTTTTTATGGACAGGGGAAAGTAGTGTGCCAAAGAAAGCACTACTAGCATGGGAGAAAGTTTGTCTACCTAAATCAGCAGGAGGCTTCAATGTTATGAATATCGGCCTATGGAACAAAGCAGTTATAAGTAAACAATTCTGGAACCTATGTAAAGAGAAGAACAAACTTTGGATACAATGGGTACACAACTATTACATCAAGGATAAAAACATATGGGAAGTGCAATTGAATCAAGCATCGTGGATCATGAGAAAGATTGTGAAAGCTAAAGAGAGTTTTGAGGCTGCAGGGTACAACTATGAAGATATAAGAAGAATGAGTAACTGCTCTATTAAGCATATTTACCATAAACTGCGAGGAACTTTTAGCAAAGTGAGCTGGAGGGGAGTGGTATATAACAATGCAGGGTGTCCCAGGTGGATCTTCATGCTAACTATGGTAGCACATGGAAAATTATACACTAAGGATAGATTGCAAAAGTGGGGCATACAAACTGATCAAGAATATATGCTGTATAAGCAGGCAAATGAGTCTATCCAGCATCTATTCTTAGAGTGTCAATATGCAGCAAAAATACGGAAGAGTTTGCTAATATGGCAAGGTATAAGAAGAATCATATATGGGTGGACAGAGGAACTAAAATGGGCAGAAGACTGGACACGGAGAAGGAATACAAAAATAGAACTATATAAGATGATACTAGCGGGATGTGTTTACTATGTTTGGCAAGAGAGAAATGGCAGAATCTTCCAAGACAAAGTGAGAAGATGGGAGATAATTAGCAAGCTGATAATACAAGAAGTACACTGTCGAAGCAACAAGGATGTAGAAAAAGCATTACGTAATATTACCCAATGTAATAGGTAGAAGTTAGTGAGTCTAGCAGTAAGATGTATAAGGGGGGAGGAAGTATAGGAAGCATAGAAACATGTAAGGGTTTTTTTGAGTTACTTGTAAATATTTTCCCTGGTATATGAAAGTTTCAATTACCAAAAAAAAAAACCGTAGATAAGTCAAAAAGTGCTTATAAGCTAGTTTAATCAGCTTATAAGCTTAGCCAAACATCCTCTCAGAAAGCAGTACCGTGCTTGAATTAACATAACCATAACATCTTTGGTTTAATTTGTAGCGATATCATTTGAAATGAACTTTTCTCTCTTTTTGGAATGTAAAAACAAGTGATCAAGCACTTACTTTTATATAAAGTCTCCTAAATATGTCTTGAAATTTGAAGAAAACAACAGCAAAGAGTATATATTCTTTCGAAGATATGCCACTTAAGGTTTGGTTACTGTTTGTGGACAATGACAGAAACCAAACTTGTATTAAACAAATTAAAAGAGAATATTAATGAGGGCAAAGATCACTTAGCTCGCGACAGAAATTATTTACATTCGGTAGCCGTAAAAGTGTATAACATTTTTATATTTTTTGTATAAAATATACAAATATACATACATATATATACACACACACACATATATACATACGTACACATATTTTTCGGTTATTATTTTAAAAACGGCTATACAATGCCATTTTCCCTATTAACAAGGGTAGATTAGTCAAAGGAGGCCCGTTAATATTGAAAACCACGAGGGAGGTTAGTATTATGAAGCAAAATCTAAGGGAAACTCTCTGTATTTTATTTAAACCGGACACGATTTATGTAAGGCAAAAACCAGATGATAATTATAACTTTGATATTTGGCATACGTTATTCTAAAATTTGCGATGGCTCATGTGATATTGTTTCTTGATTACAGATAAAGCTGGAGGACCAGATCACACGAAAAAACACTGGCAGGCATTTAGACATGACTTCAAAAGCTAATCGAAATAATGGTTGTAATTCAATGTTAATTTTACTATTTTAGTGATTATTTTATCTTCAATTTGAAATTGAAAAACTTTGTTTGAGGATTATTTTAAGTGAAATAATTAACAACATTTAATCTGATTCATACGGTGCTAATGTATGTAGGTAACATTGATCCACTTGACCGTACACCCCTACTTTCATGAACATAACGTGACAAAATCTATAAGGATTCTTATTGTTGTATTTAAAATCACAATTGGGATTATATGCTCGAATATCTCTAATCTAGAAGCTGCATTTGCTCTCTTATACTAAAAAATATATTCAGGTTCCCTTTATTCATAACTGTGTGTTTAGTATGATGGAAATTGTTTTTTAAGGATTATATTATACATGAAAAAGTTATTTTGTAGTATTTGATGATCAAAAAAATATTCTCATTAAAATGAGGGAAGTTCTTCTCACTTATAGACAAGAGCCAATTTCTTTATTAATTATCAATCTTTAGCACCAAAAGTTTATTATTAATATTTTAAAAAAAAATTGGTAATATATTAAAACTTGAAACAATTAATTGAAATATGTTCCATCCTAATTTGTGGTTTTGGTTTGGTGGCTGCGCAGTATAGTTGGAAGAGGGAATTGAATTCTCCTGCATGGAATATTCTGTCATATTCCTGCGTACATAAAACCTTTTCCCATACTAATAATAAATGAATATTAATTTATAACAAAAAGTGAAACTCCATATTTACCGTATGATGATCCGTGAGAATCAAGTCTAGCAAAATCCAATGGCTAATATTCGAAATAAGCTGACGATAATAACTTTTCCAGAAAGAAAATAAACCAACTGACAGTAGGAATTTGAGTGGCTTTGCTTTAACTTACCACAAATCCGCGTAATATTCCCTTAGCATCTTTATTTTTGTACCTAATTCAAATTTATCCTTTTCCTTTTCGCCCTATATAAAGCTCTCCCTCTTCTAAGTTTTTTTCTCAATTCAGTCTAAACAATAGTTTGTTTTCTGAATCCAAAGAAAAACAAGAAATAGAGGTTTTTCTATTCATCTTTTTCTTGTCACTAACCCCTCGAAAATACTCAGAAATGGCTGGAATTGTGGTGATTTTCGACTTCGACAAGACGATCATTGACGTGGATAGTGATAATTGGGTGGTGGATGAGTTAGGCGCCAATGACTTGTTCAACCAACTTCTCCCTACCATGCCCTGGAACTCTCTCATGGTTAGTTTTCCTTTCTATAATATTTTTTCGTTAACGTATATAACTTAAAATCCTATAAAAAAAAATTATATGTAACAAATGGACTTTTTCAATCTTCCCTACAGTCTTAAGGTTTTTGTCTGATTTTTTTCTTTTGCTAAAGGCTGATAATTTATATTCTATTTCAAATAACAGGATAGGATGATGAAGGAGCTTCATACACAAGGCAAAACTATTGAAGACATTGAAGAGGTACTAAAACGGGTACCAATACACCCCAGGATTGTCCCAGCCATTAAATCAGCCTATGCATTAGGGTACGTATCTTTCGATTTAAGCCTTTAGCGCCGCGTGCTGTAACTTTTGTCTATTTCCTATGTTTTTATCTTGATCTGTGTCATACAAATAATGAGATTTTGTGGGTTTAAACTAATTGAATGTTTATTAATTCAGGTGTGATTTGAGAGTAGTAAGCGATGCAAACGTATTCTTCATAGAGACAATCTTGAAACATCTGGGAATAAGAGATTGTTTCTCAGAAATCAATACGAACCCAGGCTATGTTGATGAGGAAGAAAGGCTTCAAATCCTACCTTATGTTGATTTTCAAACATCTCCTCATGGATGCAATCTTTGCCCTCCCAACATGTGCAAGGTAAATAATCCATCTTATTATAATAAGAAAATCTTTTCATAAACACAAGTCAGCAATTTAAAAAATTTAACATGAAATTAAGATAGTTATTCTAATAGAGTTTCTCTTACAGGGTCTGATAGTAGAGAGAATACAAGCCGCTATGGCTAAGGAAGGGAAGAAAAGAATAATATACCTTGGTGATGGAATCGGCGATTTCTGCCCCAGTTTGAAGCTCAGAGAAGGAGATTTCGTCATGCCTAGAAAAGATTACCCAGCCTGGAATTTGATAAAGGAAAACAGGACATTAGTAAAAGCTGAGGTTCATGAGTGGACTGATGGGGAAGAACTTGAGCACATTCTGCTACAACTCATTAACGCAATCACCATTGAAGAGAGACAATTGTTATCAGTCGAATGCAAGTTCCACACAATGTCAAAAGCATCTCACGGACCCTTTCCACGACCTCTTCCAGTACCTTATTAATGGCAAAATTGCCCAAGTCATTATAATGAAGATTCTGACTTGAATTTGAATTTTATTTTAGGTAGTTTTGTGTGGTTTCTTCTGTTGATCAACATCAAGAAAGAGATCAACTTAAAGTGTGTTACAAGTTTTCTGTAACTTGTTTAGTATCTATGGTTTTTTGGGATCAAAAGTTAAGAAGTGTACACTGGATTTGTACCTGTGGTTTTAGTTCTGGAGATTTTTTAACATATTTCTTAGGGAACTCCATTAAAGGAAACTCCAAGTTTTAACTTTCACCTCCATCCAATTTTAAGCTCAATCAAATAGAATAGTTTTTCATTCCTCTTCCAAGCACCTTTGCAGTAGCAGTATAAAACACTACCAACAAGAAGCGCAAAGATTGTCTATTTCACAAGAGAATTGGCTAACTGTGTAGATAGTATATTCAGAAATGAACACAATAATATCCAGAGAATACTTATACAGAAGGGCATTTGAATTTAGATTCAGTTAATCAGTAACAAAGACACAACTAAAAGTATTGCCAAGACAAAAAAAAGGTATTAATACTAACGGGTGTGATATTTCTGGAGTTGTCCCCTTCCCCGACACAAACCAGGTTGACATTTAGAACTTAGAAGCTTCTTCTGCACTTGAATGCCCGACAAACGAAGAAGACATAAAGGACTCACGAGGTTTCCCGTCTCTCCTTTTCCTGAAAAAATCTGTGGTACCTTCAAAGATGATCACTTCTTGTGTCTTAGTAGTCACTGTAAACATGGGAACAGAACAATTTGACACTAGAAGGTAGGGTGAATAGCGACGAATAGGGTTGTTTCAAACTTGTCAATGGTCCTTTTGCTTGGTTAAGAGAATAAGAGAAAAATAATCCAACATAGAGGTAAAGAGATTGAGGTAGATCAAAATGCCTCCTCGGTAGAAGAGCCCCTCTTTTACAAGTAGAGATACAGGACCTCGAATTCATAGGATTTGTAGAGCTGGATGATAAAATTGTCCCTGTGCTACGGGTAAAATAAATAATTACAACTGACAGAGGATTAAACTATAAAAAGAAGTTCCACTCAAGCTAGATATTTTGGAGGTGGTGTCCTTAGAATCCAAAACACACACAAGATCTGACAAACACACGACAAAAAGAAGAAGTGATCATCCAACATAGCCATGACAAGTAGCAAAACGGGAGAGTGAGATAGCTTAAACTTAGCTTAAACTTAGGTAACATTTTTAATATGTCAGCATGAACTGGATTACAGCAATGGCAAAAGGTGAATTCTTTAGATAAACAAATTGATGCAGCTATCTAGCATCCCTGAGATGAAGAGCAGTAACACAACCAATGACACGTTGCGGCAATTTCTGGAAAAAGATATAGTACAGACAAACTTGTTCACTTCTACCTTGAAGCTGTTCTGAAATGTCTGTCTTCCGGAGATGCAGAAATTTCACAGAAGCTGAGAATCTGCATCACCAGTGCCTTTTTGCAAACTCTCTATTGTAAAACCTGGGTTATGGCTTGCAATTGCATCCTTTAATTTCTGCAGCTGCGTGACATTTTTCAAAGTAAAAAGTGAAAACATGAAGAATGAGAGAATATACATGCTTACATAGACCTACCTTCCCATCAAATAAGCAGAAAAGTTCAGGACAAGTTGAGAATTTTCATTTTTAATAGGTCTATGGACCCGTATAAGCTCAACAATTGGATAAATCTTGCCAATACAGGCGAGTACAGGATCACTAGGAGAAAAGCAAAAGATAAAAAAGAAATCACTATTCTTAGGATATATGAATAGTGACGATGACCATTATCCTCAAAGTTACAATTATCTATGTCCTAATTTCGATAGTACCAAGGAACCTAGAGTGAGATAGAGAAATACCCTGATGCTTTGACCAGATTCTTATCAAACCAATGACATTAAGGAAAAGAAATCTCAGTCTGCAAAGACTTGGTTGACGGTGGTGCTTCAGGTGGCCAGTCTAACTATTGGTGTTCTCATTCTTTTCATTTCAAATTTTACTTAGAGAGACACATATCGCCAATAGCTTCCCAATGTTTTTGAACACGTCTTCACAAGCCAACCGAAAGAGTACATTAAGTTGCTTTTGTCGTGTTTGTGTCATGGGAACAACACAGTTAATGGAATACTAAAAGATAGCATACAAAATGAAAATGATTGCACAATCCTCTTATATGCTTTCCTATTCCGTCAGCCTACTTCGTCCCGACCACCCTTCTATCTCCCTTTATTCATTTCTTTCTTTTTCCTACCGTCCTTCTATCTCCCTTTATTCACTTCTTTCTTTTCCCTTGGACCGAGCACCCAGGAGAGGAGAAGAATGGAAAGCCAAGAGGATTACAATGCAATAGGTTATTATGGTGACAAATGAAATAGCCATACATGGTGTTCATGTCCTACCTTTGCAAGAGAACAAGAAAAGGAATCCAACAAGCCATCAGCTCCTCTGTAGAAGTGGAATTATGGAAGGATTCTTACATTTAAGCTTTTGCAGAAAGACGTATTCTAGTCAAAATTCACTTTAATGAAAACGATTTCTGCGTGTTGTTCAGAAATCTTGCACAGCTGATCATTGGATGGCATAGAAAAGCACTTCCATCAGTATGATTCGAACAGTTGAATAATGCGCCATTTTCTAGAGATATATAATAGTGACAGAAAGACAAGTGAAACAAAATTAAAAATCTAAATGAAAATCCATTGCTAGAGATATGTATATAACTGATGTCGGAGGGCTATAAACTTTGAGAGCTTGAAGGCAGGTCAATGCCTCTTTAAAATCTACTCCAATAGAGATAAAAATGGATTTTTCAGGACAAAACAAATCAAAATAGGAAAATAAAATGAGCATTTGGCAAAAGAAATTTGTTTCTCTTGTAAGCTTGACGCAATTTTGCAATAAAGTTTTCCTTGAATTTGCAGAAACCTACCTGCAAAATTATGGAATATGATGTTTCAGTTTCAGACACAGGCACGCAACTACTTCCAGCTGCAGATTTGCCACACAAAGGTGATGGTCATTCTTGTATATTTTGAGTACGCATGCGACAACAATTTGTGTTCTAAAAAGAAACGGACCATTACTGAAGGAAACACAGAAAATGGTACCTAATGAGATTACTCACCTTAGGGAGTAATGCCCGACATGAGGCACACCATGTGCCATGGAATTTAGCAATCACTAATCTATCTCCAGCTTGACTAAATGTATCTACAAATTCTTGAGTTGAATATGTGTCGACTTTCGCTGATCAGTTTCAGCAGCAGTTGCATAGATCTGATATCCAGAAAACCCGAAAACATAATACTGTTGCTTGATGCTGGAAGATTAGCAATTAAGTAACCAATTAACAACAGTGAACTAAAATAGATTGTTAAGTGAAACATATGGACCCTTGCAACATTGTCTATAATTGGATGAATTGCACTTTGCTACAGTACTCATTTCGTGGTGATAACAACAATCTGGTCTTGCAAAGTAAACCAGTCCTTTGGACGCAAGCTGACTCTTTCCTCCAAAACTAGAACCAAGACAGCACATTTCTTCAGATGAATCTAACAATTAAAGTTTTATACCAACAAATTCTACTGTTCACCCTTTCCTTAGTTGTTTCAAATACTAGAACAAAGGAAATTTATTCCGACCCGCGGATAAACACATTGAATTAGGCGTAAGGCATACTATTTCTGTAGACAAAACAAGTATTTTGCTTTGGAGTGAATGTAATTAGCAGTAAATGCAACTGCACGTCACTGATCAGCAAAATTACACATCAAAGTTCAAAGTATCCATCAGTCTTCTAATCCAACTTGTCAATAAAAACTAAATTGCTCTCAATTGGGAGTCTTAAACAGAAATACTTTCAACACTTAAATCGCGCACACAAAATTCAAAGACGTATTTAGAGCAAAACAGACAGAGTTACCATAAAAAGAAGCAAAGTTTTCGTGGGGGCATAATGAGAAGAGTAGGCAACGTGGGAAAAAGGAACCCTTTTGTCCCGTGGTTGAATTTGTTAGCTTCAATTTCACATCAGATGTACGGAGTATTTATTTACACAAGTAATAGGAGCAAGAAAGAAAGACAAGATGTGCAGCAAAATTGGCTCTGGCAATATGGAAATTCCGAGCGCAGCTGCATCCACATGACTGCCTAGAACCATTATAACCGTGTAAGATGGTAAGTAAACTCGGAACTCTTCCTTTTTTGCTATGTTTAAAGAATTATATATATATAAACTTTTAAATTTTAATATTTTAATGACATGGTCATACATATTTAACTTCTTTTTTACTAAAAAAAACCCTGCTATATATGCCCGCTCTTTCCTCAATTTCCCTCCATCCTCCCCTCACCAGGGTGCCTAATGAGGAGAAGTAAAGAATGCCCTTTTCTCCTTTAAACCACTAAAGGCATCAGGACCGGACGGTATCCACCCTTTTTTCTACCAAAAATTCTGGGGGATAACAAGCAACCTTCTGGTCAACTTCTGTAAAGAATCCTTCACAAAGAAAAAAATGATTGAAGACATGAATAACACCTTCGTATGTTTAATATCAAAGCATCAGAATGCTGAAACCTTAAGGCAATATAGACCCATTAGCCTCTGTATACTGCCTATAAGGTCGTCACAAAAATTATTGTTAACAGAATAAAACCCTCCCTCGACAAAATTATCCACCCATCTCAAACAAGTTTTATAAAAGGAAGAAGAGCCTCAGACAACGCCATAATAGTGCATGAAGTTCAAAATTTCTTCAAAAATTCCAAAGGGAAAATCATGATTAAAATTGATTTAGAAAAGGCTTTCGACAAACTAGAATGGTCTTTCATTAGATTCTCCCTGAAATCCCTTAACTTCCCGGATGACCTAATTGAGCTAATAATGTCCTGTGTATCCTCCACCTCCATACTCATAAATGGTTCAAGCACAGATTTCTTTACCCCTACTAGAGGCATTAGGCAAAGGGACCCCCTATCCCCGTACCTATTCATAATCTGCATGGAAATGCTCTCTAGACTCGTTGACCACGAAGTAGACTGTTGTAGATGGAACCCCATAACCTGTCAAAAAAGGGACCCCAATTATCTCACCTGTTCTTTGCTGACGACCTCATTCTTATGATGGAAGCCAATCAAAAGAGCTGTGACTCCCTCATAGACACTCTGAATAAATTCTGCAAGTTCTTTGGCCAATCCATCAACTTCGGCAAATCTAGAATAATCTTTTCTAAGAACACCCACCCGGACAAAC